GTGTTACTAGCAAATTATTAATTTCATGAACCTTGTTTCTTAAGCTACATATGTTAATGTGGGCTATTTCTAACACTTTTCTGGGATGCTTGATTATTGTCCTTGCTTTACTGGGAAGCTTATTATAGGTAGACATACTCTGGTTATTTTTATTAGTGCAGGGTGAGCTGCACACAGTGGACTTCCTACTAGGGCACACCACCTCAGTGCTAACAGTATTACTTTGGTTCATAGGCATATGATTACTGCATACAATAGCTGTAGGATCAGCAGAGGCATTCTGGGCAGTAAGAGGGACATAAATTAGGTTATTTATATTGTGTCTTCCAACCTTCAAGAGACTAGACTACAGTATGAAGTTTGATTTAGTTATTGCTTGTTTCATTTGCTGCTTGTTACTTTGATTCAATCAAAGTTCCACCCTTCATTCATCTCCCATCTCTATTTTTTATTTGTTATCCATTATCAGTACTGAATTGCATATCGACTGAAAGGCTGTTGCTATGTTGAATGAAATGAAAAGGTATGCATGTAGCGTTGAGAGATTGTATAACTGATCGATAAACACCTTGGCTATATAGCACAGTCTGTATAATACTGGAGCCTTTGCTAAGAGGATCAGATTGTTCCAAGGTGAATATAAAAACACAACTTCATGGTTGTGTTGGTTTGTAGAGCACCCCCCCCCCCCACTCAAATACTTGTGAAGTGCAAGATATGCAACGTATGACTTGTTCTTTACGTAAATCCTCAACCCTCAACCACCGTTTTTGGCTTAAGTAAGCATCTGTCTTATGTAACCATATCATATGTAACATGTTTACTATATTACGTCTAGTCTATGAGACCAGGCTGCGAAAACACAAAACTTATCAGAGCAGTAACATGGCAGATGGGCCACTGTGCATCCAGATATCAGAGCATCTGAGTGAATCATATTAAAGTAATTGGAAATAGAAGAACACAATATTAATATACAGTCAAATTGCCTCCAGGTAGGGTACAACCTTTACATTTACTGATTTTAATGATTACAAACTCAATATGAAAAAGCCTTCCTGGATAGTAATGGCCTCTTGGAGGTGATATGGAATTAGAGTTTTAGAGCCAATTTCTCATTCATAACTTCAAATATAACATGTTTAATACAATGTTGTTACTAAAAAATATTACTACACAGGTAGTCTTAGTGGACATTGTAGCGTAATCGGATGTCGACATGGTGGCAAGACATTGTCCGTAATGTGATTTGTCCCATTTCAAGTGCCCTAACTAGCCTAGTGCCCTAGCACTAGCCTATATTAATGCAATCTATCACTCATCAGTCATTACAATGTACAGTCCTGAGTCAGTATACATACAGTGGTTCACTGCTTTGAATGTACGCAGGATGTACAGTACACTGTCTGGATGAAATCTGAGTGACACACACACGCACACTTATATTTCCACACTATGATCAATTAAACGTATTTATAAAGCCCTTTTTACATCAGCAGTTATCACAAAGTGCTTTAACAGAAACCCAGCCTAAACCGCCAAAGAGCAAGCAATGCAGATGTAGAAGCACTGGAATAACAGTGTACAATTGTACAAATTATGATAATGCCCTTTTAGTATAAGAGTTGTTAGAAAAGACTGCCTGAAATTTCAACCTGTTTTGGTGGGATGGAGTTTTGACCTGCCTGGTGACATAAATCAGTTAATAGACCAATAATAGAGTTCCAAACCTCTCTGCCAATAACAGCTAGTTTTATGTTTCCCCCTCCGTACTCCCAGACTGTCTCAGACAGTCATAGCTAAATCCTTGCTTGAGAAATTGCTCTTTGCTAATAAACTGTTTCTTTTTTACCATTTTAATTGAAAACAATCACAGTAAGGTATTGAGATAAAAACTGCTGCATTGGACCTTTAAACTAACCACTCAACATATACATTTTAACTGTAAAAAAAGCATAAGAATAGATTTAGCAATTTACAGTCATAGAATACTGTGGTACATCACCATACAATATTTTGAGGCAATATCTTGAAGCTATTGAAGTCAATAATGAGTTGAGACATCTACAATGAGGACTCATGGGTGGAAATCTATAGCTTTAAACTGTTACGAATTATTTGAATGAAATAAATCAACCCACATTTTCTCCCAGTCCTATCTGGTCAGTGGTGCTGCATTAGAGATCCTCATAACCTTGTTTGAATCCAACTTTATGAAATCAGATAAAGTGCCTGAGTGTCTTGCCTGAGTGTCTTGCCTGAGTCATTGGGCAGTTGGTCAACAAACTAAAACAAGTACCCTCATAGCATGGGGAATCAATAAATGTTGAATAATTCACTTGTGACAGGTGGTCTGAAGCCTTGTTTTATCTGCTTGCCGAATTAATCAGAATTTTAATGAGCGTGCTTGCACTGAACAACTTGGATCCATCAGCAATCCATTGAGCTAATTGATTATTACAATTAACGAGTTGGAAACAAACTGATTATGAAAAAGCTTAGCATTTTCATATTGGTAGAATACCTAGAAAAACACAGTACAATTGGCCTTGATATATCACACTTGACAAGGAAGGAGAATCGTAATAGAGAAGTCAACGTGAGAAAGAGGCACACACACACAGAGGTCAGAGACGAAAAGCGGTGGAAAGATATTTCATTTGATTTCTCATCTGAACATTATTCTGGGGACCTACTCAGTATGAGTGGGCTGATGTCTTATGTTGCCATGGCAATGATTTTTCCACCCTCTACCCCTATTCTTGTCATCTGTGCAAGGGGACACCATGTGGTAAATAATGGAATAGCCTAGAAACAGCACCATTCATAGTATAGGCTGCTACACAATATATGTAATCTCCCTGCAACTCAATAATACATTGATCCTACCAAGGTTCACTGTAATGGTTACTATAAGAAACAACAACAAATACCCCAAAACATATTTTCAGCCTCTTCACTTTTTCTGGGTTGCATTTTGATTTCTAATGTTCTTCTAAGGCTTTGATTAGGTGTCAAACTCATCCCAAAGGAGAATTGGAACTATCAGATGTGTGGGCCCTACACAACAAAAGTACACTGTCAGTATTCACAAGATGTGCCAGTCGCCTATCTGGCTTTATGACCATGTTTGAAATATTCCTGCAGCAATTTAGGTGGAGGGCTTTATCCAGGTCAGTGGAGACCACTCTAACCTCAAAGAGGTTAGGAACTGCCACAAGGTATTCTTGATCTTCAACCAGGTTGAAGCCATCTTCCGGGAATGGTGGCACCTCTTATTCTGAACCCTAGCCCAGTCGGTTATATAGACTAGATCGTTTTACGTTATCCAGTGTGTTAGTGAGTGTAACATTATTTGTAGTTCATTTTTACATGGCTCATCTGACATATTCAACTGATTTAAATTATTAGTTTGTATGATATTCCTGTAATATCTCACTCTACTCACTCAATCTGAATCCATTCTTTGTAATTTCCCCCTAATAAAAGCACAAATCAGTTTTTTGAAATATTGAAAAGCGACCTGCTGAACAAACAGATGGGCCCTGTGAGAGGAAATTCTTGGTCATGAGGGGAAAAGATGGCGGAAGTGGACAATGAAGTGGATTCTGAATCCAATGGCGGTAGAATCAAGGAGAATTTGAGTATTGTCCAAAATAATGGAAAACGGAGCAAAGTAGGGTACAGTGATGAGAATGACCCTTCGTATCTAATAGGAGGACGGTTTGTTAATGAGGAGCAGCTGAGCAGAGTACCAATCTTGAAGAAATCATTTGAGATATCCAAACTGATGGAGAGAGTGCTGGGTAAAGTGAAGGCTGTGAGGATCACGAGAGGCGGGCTTGTTTTGATTTGATGTGCTTCTGCGGTTCAGAAGGAATGTGCGTTGCGTCTCACCCGATTTGATATGTTTGAAGTGTCGTGTGTGTCTCTTCGGAACAGGGCACCCCTTAAGGGGGTTATATCTGGCATCTCGTGGTAAGTTGATTTTGAAGAGATTAAAAATATTCCTGGGTGATTGATGCACGTCGGATGAATCGTGTTGTGAATGGTGAAAAAGTGAAGAGTAAAAATGTCTATCTGTTCTTTTGTTTTTTTATATGGAGTCTCTCCCTACTCAAGTGCAGTTGGGGTATATAAACTATAGAGTCTGAGCATTTATTCAAGACCAATGCAGTGTGATCATTGTAAAGCTTTTGGTCATGTTTCAAGTGTTTGCAGAAGGGAGAAGCCGAGATGTCCAAGTTGTGGAAAAATATCATATAATGTGTTTTAAAAGTGAAGAAAATGTGATATGTTGCAATTGTAGTGGGAATCATGAAGCTACATCTTTCTATTGCCCGACAAGGGTGAAAGAGAATGAGGTGGCCAAAGTCAGGGCTGTCCAGAGCATTTCATATGCAGCAGCTGTTAAAAGGTTTGAATGGTGCTCCTGAAGAGTCCATGGTGGTAGATAGGCCTTCACTGCAGGCTGCAGGGGTTGCCTTTCACCAGCAGGACCCTGACATTTTAAAGGTTAAGAAGGTGGACTTTGTGGCCTTTATAGCTATGGTGATGAATGGCACTGCGAAGGTGGAGAGAAGGTCCAGGAAGATAGATATCATTGTGGATGGGGCGGAGCGGTTCCTGGGACTTAAAGATTTCTCTGCGGAGGAGTTACATGGAATATTGGCAAAAGCCGTACCACCCTCTCAGGCCCTAGAGCCTGAGAACAGAGATATTGAGATTTGAAAGAAGGAAGAAGTGGGAGTTTTGTTTTGGTCAATGTACTATTTTTATTTGGGTGGATTAAGTTAGTTTCCCTATCACATGGATTTTCTTTTTACCTTGTTTTGGTTTTCAACCAGTCCAGTTGGTGGTGGCAATACACCTTTTTGGGTTGTAGTCCGCCATAAAACCCACAGAAGAAGAAGAAGAAGAAGAAGAAGAAGAAGAACGAAAGATGGACCCCTAAAAGAGTACCAGGCGCCTAACTACATTTCCCAGGATGCACTGTTAGTAACCTTACAACCCAACATGGCTGCGCCCTACAGTGCATGTTATTTTTAATTAACTCTAGTTCACCTTTAGGCACAGTTATATGTATCTGATTTTGGTTTTTCATCACACCTCTAAGAATTCATACATTGGGACTGAAATTTAAAGAAATGTAACTTAGGTTGATACGATCTAACCGTGTCTGCGGCGTTAAATTGGCTAGCTATCAGGGCTAATGTCAATGCCCTGTACAGAAGCTTTAGTTAGCTAACGAATTGATTAGCTAGCTAACATGCAGCTGTCTTTAATAAAACCTCAAGGGTGTGCAACACCTTTTTTAAGGCATCTTTTGGACTTCAGAGTTTATCAAACAAGACAAAGGAGCCAGAGCTGTAACAGAGCTTGCACGGTCATTAGACACCGATGGATGAAGAGGGCACCTGTTTTCTGCACACACATCACCACCAACAAGATGATCAGTACACAGGCTGACAAAGTAAGGAACTCTACATTGCAAACAGACAGCGTGCCATGAAGTATTAATTATCTTTCAAGTCATGGCCTTTATTGTAGCTAACTGCACTAACTTTATCATATTGTTATTTCTTGAAGGAGAACATAGATATGTCAAAGTTCCCAGTGGAGAGGATCAGAAATTTCAGCATCATTGCTCACATTGACCATGGGAAAAGCACCTTGGCTGACAGGCTTCTGGAAATAACAGGTAGCTATCACCTACATTACCATATTCTTCTTCTTTGGTATCATGGCGTTCTTAACTTTTTTTGGTGCATGCCGCCATCGACTGTGCAGGAGTGTGATTTATCACGTTACATTGTGATATAAAAGTGAAGGGAAGAAATTGCACCACCAACTAACCCTACACCTATGTACCACTATTTCATAAAAATAATCACCACTCCATTCCACTACTTTGACCCTAACTGATCCTACACCAGGCCGACGGCCTGGGAAGACGGGATTCTTTAGTTCAACACACCTTCTAGATATTCTGCAGTAAAACCTCGTACACCCAAGTACTTCTCTGCAGCTGCCACCAAAGCATCTATTTTCGGTGATTTTAATTTCAATTTCTGTGGTACAGTTGATAACCATGGCAATGAATGCTAAGAAGCCAACCTTACTGAAGCACACATTTGTATTTGCCTAGTCTACTTCTCACACTTGACCCATCGTCCTCTACTCCCCTCAAACTCAACTCTGGACCTTGAAGGCAGTTCCACTACTTGTTTTCATTGTTCTCTAATCAGGGCTGATTTAGACCTGGCACACCAGGTGGGTGCAATTATCAGGTGGAACAGAAAGCCAGCAGGCTCCGGATCTCGTAGGGTAAGAGTTGAATACTCCTGCTCTACTCTCTTCACTGCCTCTGACCCTGGCAACCTCAACCTGTCTCTCTCGAACCGGGCACTTCTGATCCCCAGCAACATGGGCACCCCCACAATTGACGCAGTTTTTTTCCACCGATACTACATATTATTTTGTCCCATGCCCTCCTACACACTGCTGCAACATGACCATAAGCTTGGCATCTAAAACACCTTAGTGGGTTTGGCACAAAAGCTCTCATGGGATAACTGACATATCCTAACATGACTTTGTCAGGTGAAACTCAAAACTCTTCAAAACTCAAAAGGACAGACAGTGTCTTCTCAGTTTCACCACGCTCGCCACTGCGTCGCACCAAACGGCAGGCGTCACAGAAAATAGTAAAAGTCCCATTCGAAAGTCCATTTAACAGTACCCAAATTATTATCTACCCAGCCTGAGACTACATATGGGTCAGCCAAAAGGCAGGGATCCACATTCTCCAAAAATGTCCTTCCCGCTGGGCCAGAATCATCCTTTTCATGACCATCAGGGTGAGGCTCGGACTCTTAGGTCTTCACCACACCTGCCACCGCAGGTAATACATCCTCACTCTTGTTAGGTTTTCTGAGCCATCAGAGACAGCAGACTACGGTTTGTACTTGGCGGCATTCTTCCTCAGCACACATCTTGCCTCTGCACACGGCTCTTCTCCTTCTTCCTCGCTGTCCATAATCACGTCTATCCGTTTACCACACTCATGCCGCGCCTTCATCCGCCATATTGTTTGCAGAACACGCACTGATGGCCTTTCTCCAATACCCAACTTCTGTTCCATAGCCCAATTTACTATTCTGGCTATCTTTGGCCTATCCATGCTAGCAAAACGTGGGCTACTCTGCATCTCTCTCTAGGGTTCCATGCTGGGCTATTACCATATTCACACTCATGGATCACACAAGTACTCATGCATTTAGTTTTTTGTATGATATGGCTCACCTCATTGCTTGGTTTTGACAGGTGCCATAACCACGACGGATAAAAACAAACAGGTGTTGGACAAGCTGCAGGTGGAGCGAGAGAGAGGGATAACTGTGAAGGCCCAGACAGCCTCCCTGTTCTACAAATACCAGGGACAGACCTACCTGCTCAACCTCATTGACACACCAGTAAGTACACTGAACAAAAATGTAAACAATGCAACAATTTCAAAGATTTTACTGAGTTACAGTTCATATAAGGAAATCAGTCCATGGAAATAAATTAATTAGGCCCTAATCTATGGATTTCACATGACTGGGAATACAGATATGCATCCGTTGGGGGGCGTGGATCAGAAAACCAGTCAGTATCTGGTGTGACCACCATTTGCCTCATGCAGCTCAACATCCTTTGCATAGAGTTGATCAGGCTGTTGATTGTGGCCTGTGGAATGTTGTCCCACTCCTCTTCAATGGCTGTGCGAAGTTGCTGGATATTGGCGGGAACTGGAACACGGCGTCGTACATGTCGATCCAGAACATTCCAAAAATGCTCAATGGGTGACATGTCTGGTGAGTATGCAGGCCATGGAACAACTGGGACATTTTCAGCTTCCAGGAATTGTGTACAGATCCTTGCGACATGGGACCGTGCATTATCATGCTGAAACATGAGGTGATGGAGGCGGATGAATGGCACGACAGTGGACCTCAGGATCTCGTCACGGTATCTCTGTACATTCAAATTGCCATCGATAAAATGCAATTGTGTTCATTGTCCGTAGCTTATGCCTGCCCATACCATAACCCCACCACTACCATGGAGCATTCTGTTCACAATATTGACATCAGCAAACCGCTCGCCCACACGACGCCATACACGCTGTCTGCCATCTGCCCGGTACAGTTGAAACCGGGATTCATCCGTGAAGAGCACACTTCTCTAGCGTGCCAGTGGCCATCGAAGGTGAGCATTTGCCCACTGAAGTCTGTTACGACGCCGAACTGCAGTCAGATCAAGACCCTGGTGAAGACGACGAGCACGCAGATGAGCTTCCCTAGGACTGTTTCTGACAGTTTGTGCAGACATTCTTCGGTTGGGCAAACCTCCAGTTTCATCAGCTGTCTGGGTGGCTGGAAGTTTAGGTCCTGAGCTGGCGTGGTTTCACGTGGTCTGTGGTTGTGAGGCCGGTTGGAAGTACTGCAAAATTCTCTCTAAAATGACGTTAGAGGTGGCTTATGGTAGAGAAATGAACATTAAATTCTCTGGCAACAGCTCTGGTGAACATTCCTGCAGTCAGCATGCCAATTGCACACTCCCTCAACTTGAGACATCTGTGGCATTGTGTTGTGACAACTGCACATTTTAGTGGCCTTTTATTGTCCCCAGCACAAGGTGCACCTGTATAATGATCATGCTGTTTAGTCAGCTTCTTGATATGCCACACCTGTCAGGTGGATGGATTATCTTGCCAAAGGAGAAATGCTCACTAACAGGGATGTAAACAAATTTGTGCACAAAATTTGAGAGAAATAAGCTTTTTGTGCAGATGGAAAATTTCTTGGATCTTTTATTTCAGCTCATGAAATATGGGACCAACACTTTACATGTTGCGTTTATATTTTTGTTCAGTGTAGATGGGACTAGATACCGTCAGTGACACAAGGGGTTTGTTTATATTAGTCTTAATTAGAGCACTCATAGTCTTCTCTGTTTTCAGGGTCATGTTGACTTCAGTTATGAAGTGTCTAGATCCATCTCAGCGTGTCAAGGTGTACTGTTGATCGTTGATGCCAATCAGGTAGGTTTTTCAGCAAGCTAACGCATTATTATTTTGGGCATAATGTGTATTTGTCATTGATGTGTTCTTGTGTGGGTCAGGGGATTCAAGCGCAGACTGTGGCTAACTTCTACTTGGCATTCGAAGCTCAGCTGACCATCATTCCTGTCATAAACAAGGTACATTTCCCAATGAATCAATTATGTTAGCGTGTTTGACAAATACCATCATGTTCTAATGTGTGTTTCTTTTTCAGATTGATTTGAAAAATGCTGATCCAGAGAGGGTAGAAAAGCAGATTGAGAAGGTGTTTGATATTCCAACTGAAGAATGTATTAGGGTGAGTTGGATTGTATTGACTGAGATGTTGGTAATTGCCAATATCTTAGTTTGGACAAATGTATAAATATGATGATTCCACCTCTCTTTAGATTTCTGCCAAACTGGGCACCAATGTAGAACAAGTCCTTCAAGAAGTGGTGAAACGATTACCACCGTAAGTTTTCTTTGACTCCTTACTTCCTGTTGGAAAATAAAATGTCTTCCAATGTACTGTAATGCACTTCCTCATTGAATAAACAGCTGCCTCCCAAATGGCACCCTACTGCATATAGTGCTCTACTTTTGACCAGGGCCTATCTGATCAAAAGTAGTGCACTGAAAGTAGTGCACTATGTAGGGAATAGGGTGCCGTTTCGGATGCATCGCAACATAAACATGTTTTGTTCTCAGACCCACTTTTAAAAAAGAGGACCCATTCAAAGCCCTGGTGTTTGACTCCAACTTCGATCACTACAGAGGGGTGGTGGCGAACATCGCTCTGTTCGGAGGCTATTTGTCTAAAGGAGACAGGATCGTATCTGCATACCTGGGGAAAAGCTACGAGGTCAATGAGCTAGGCCTCCTCAGGCCAGATGAGCACCCCACAGACAGACTGTGAGTGGCTTATCCTGCATAATATTCATCTTCTCTGATTCCATATCATTGGTGGTGACTGTTGTATTAAAGCCACACTGTCAGTTCTCCCTTCCTTGTGGTAATAAGATACAAGATGCCAATAACTGCACCTGTTCTTCTTCTTGTTTGGTACACTACCCCCAAGTCCTTCAGAAAAGGACACTTCTTATAGGCATATCATATTGGTCACATGGCTGTAAATGAACAATGACTCTTTTCTTTTCATTCCTGACACTGTGGCTGTGGTTGAGGTGTGTTGTGTAGGTACGCGGGCCAGGTGGGCTATGTGATAGCAGGTATGAAGGAGGTGAAGGAGGCCCAGATCGGTGACACCCTCTACCATCAGAAACATCCTGTAGAAGCTCTGCCGGGGTTCAAGCCAGCCAAGGCCATGGTGTTTGCCGGTACGCTGAAACGCATCCAATCTGGTCATGTGCTGGACAGAAATACAAGTGAAAACACACAATACAACTGGTCCCATATTGTTGCATTTACAGTGTCAATAGGAAGTAGTTTATAACCAAACATGTACAGTAGTAGCAGGTGTCACTGATTTCCATCTTTAGTGTGCTTGTTGGCATCTCTCTCTCAGGGATGTACCCTATGGACCAGGCGGACTACAGCGCCCTCCGCAGTGCCATGGAGAAACTGACGCTCAACGACTCCAGTGTGACGGTGCAGAGAGACAGCAGTCTGGCACTGGGAGCAGGCTGGAGGTCAGATCATAACATTACCAATTAAACTCCAATCTAATCTCATCTACTACTTAAAGCTATACAAGTGGTGAAGGGTTGACCTTAACAGGATACATGGCTTTGGGTCAATGCATTATAACCACCCTGGTCTGTGACTGCACTGCTATGCTTTATATTCTTCCTCTGCTTTCTTTTTGAGGGATGCCATTTTCAGCCGTGATCATGACCCCTGTGTGACCCTGACTCTTAAATTGTTCTCTCACTGTTTTTCCTTTCCTTTGTCTTTATACCCTTTGTTTTGTAGACTAGGCTTCCTGGGCCTGCTCCACATGGAGGTGTTTAACCAGCGCTTGGAGCAGGAGTACAATGCCTCTGTCATAGTGACAGCCCCCACTGTGCCCTACAAGGCTATCCTGTCCTCCGCCAAGCTCATTAAGGTAATACACAGCACCACTTCTAGGGGGCTTCAACTCACATGTACATCTATTGCTGAGGAAAGTTGACATGATATCACAGCAAAGTAAATGCACACGAAGTACATATATTTGCAAATGTACGTCAGCTGTTATTGTCAAACAGTGTTTAAAAAATAGTTTATAACCTGTTTCATACACTGTTCGTGAAGCATGTCACGTGAACCAAAAATATGTTTTTTGGTTTTCTTTTTTTATGGCCCTTGTTTGGTAAAGGTTCTAACTCCTGTTGTTTGGTAAAGGTTCTAACTCCTGTTGTTTGGTAAAGGTTCTAACTCCTGTTGTTTGGTAAAGGTTCTAACTCCTGTTGTGTTGTAGGAGCATGGGAAGGAGGAGATCACCATAGTGAACCCAGCCCAGTTCCCAGACAGGTCTGTAGTGAAAGAGTACCTGGAGCCCATGGTGATGGGGACCATCATCACCCCTGATGACTACACTGGGAAAATCATGAGTATCTGCTTGGTAAGCCAGCCTGGCTTTCAGGTGTTGCTAATTATTTGTTTGAATGATCATTTTGTAACAGAGAAATTAAGGAAAATGTGTTTTGATTACTTTCACTTTGCAAAACAAAAATCATCATTTTAAATGTTCTAATTGGTCCATTAATGTAGAATCGCCGAGGTGTCCAGAAGAACATGGTGTACATTGACGACCACCGAGTGATGATGAAATATCTCTTCCCTCTGAATGAAATTGTTGTGGACTTCTATGACCTCCTCAAATCCATGTCTTCAGGATATGCCAGGTAATTCTTCTATGTTGCATAGAGGACGATACCAGTATCGCAATATTTTTCCCATTGCAAAAATTGTGATTTTGTACATTTGCCCACTGACAAGACATGATCAGTCTATAATTTTAATGGTAGGTTTATTTGAACAGTGAGACAGACTAACAACAAAAAAATCCAGAAAAACACGTCAAAAATGTTATAAATTGATTTGCATTTTAATGAGATTTAAGTATTTGACCCCCTCTCAATCAGAAAGATTTCTGGCTCCCAGGTGTATTTTATACAGGTAACGAGCTGAGATTAGGAGCACACTCTTAAAGGGAGTGCTCCTAATCTCCGCTTGTTACCTGTATAAAAGACACCTGTCCACAGAAGCAATCAATCAATCAGATTCCAAACTCTCCACCATGGCCAAGACCAAAGAGCTCTCCAAGGATGTCAGGGACAAGATTGTAGACCTACACAAGGCTGGAATGGGCTACAAGACCATCGCCAAGCAGCTTGGTGCGATTATTCGCAAATGGAAGAAACACAAAATAACTGTCAATCTCCCTCGGCATTGGGGCTCCATGCAAGATCTCACCTCGTGGAGTTGCAATGATAAATAATAATAATAATATGCCATTTAGCAGACGCTTTTATCCAAAGCGACTTACAGTCATGCGTGCATACATTTTTGTGTATGGGTGGTCCCAGGGATCGAACCCACTACCTTGGCGTTACAAGCGCCGTGCTCTACCAGCTGAGCTACAGAGGACCACGATCATGACAACGGTGAGGAATCAGCCCAGAACTACACGGGAGGACCTTGTCAATGATCTCAAGGCAGTTGGGACCATAGTCACCAAGAAAACAATTGGTAACACACTACGCCGTGAAGGACTGAAATCCTGCAGCGCCCGCAAGGTCCCCCTGCTCAAGAAAGCACATATACAGGGCCATCTGAAGTTTGCCAATGAACATCTGAATGATTCAGAGGATAACTGGGTGAAAGTGTTGTGGTCAGATGAGACCAAAATCGAGCTCTTTGGCATCAACTCAACTCGCCGTGTTTGGAGGAGGAGGAATGCTGCCTATGACCCCAAGAACACCATCCCCACCGTCAAACATGGAGGTGGAAAAATGATGCTTTGGGGGTGTTTTTCTGCTAAGAGGACAGGACAACTTCACCGCATCAAAGGGACGATGGACAGGGCCATGTACCGTCAAATATTGGGTGAGAACCTCCTTCCCTCAGCCAGGGCATTGAAAATGGGTCGTGGGTGGGTATTCCAGCATGACAATGACCCTAAACACACGGCCAAGGCAACAAAGGAGTGGCTCAAGAAGAAGCACCCTTAAGGTCCTGGAGTGGCCTAGCCAGTCTCCAGACCTTCATCCCATATAAAATCTGTGGAGGGAGCTGAAGGTTCGAGTTGCCAAACATCAGCCTCGAAACCTTAATGACTTGGAGAAGATCTGCAAAGAGGAGTGGGACAAAATCCCTCCTGAGATGTGTGCAAACCTGGTGGCCATCTACAAGAAACGTCTGACCTCTGTGATTGCCAACAAGGGTTTTGCCACCAAGTACTAAGTCATGTTTTGCAGAGCGGTCAAATACTTATTTCCCTCATTAAAATGCAAATCAATTTATAACATTTTTACATGCGTTTTTCTGGATTTTTGTTTTGTTATTCTGTCTCTCACTGTTCAAATAAACCTACCATTAAAATTATAGACTGATCATGTCTTTGTCAGTGGGCAAACGTACGAAATCAGCAGGGGATCAAATACTTTTTTCCCTCACTGTAGGCCGGTTTTCCTAAAGAAGTGAAATCCTCTTCGTGTTTTGTTTCCTTGCTAGGATACGAACGAGTATCGCGATACTGGTATCGTTCCGGCCCTACTTTTCAGATTTATTTGGCAACCTGAATGATTAGAAGAACATGATGAGATATTGTATATTGTTGTAATATGTTCATCAGCTTTGACTATGAGGATGCAGGGTACCAGGCAGCCCATGTGATCAAGATGGATATTCTGCTAAATGGGAAACCTGTGGAGGAACTCACCACTATTGTTCACAAGTAAGACTCTGATACCTAACGCTTAGACCTGTATCAGCTAGTCTTTGGGCTCAGACGCCTATGGCTGAATAACAAATGTTGACTGAATCCTAACTTTTGTGAATATCTTCCATTGACATTACTGTGTGATTCAACTCTTGAGTAACAGTGTCTGTTTCGCAAATTATTATTTGGCTCAATGTCTCAATCTTTCAAGGGCTACTAATAATATGATATATTTGAATACCGTAATGACGTGACCCTTGGGTGTCTTCTGTTCTGTTCTCCTATGTACAGAGATCGGGCATACAGTGCAGGTAAAGCCATGTGCGAGCGCCTGCAAGACGCCATACCCAGACAGATGTTTGAGATTGCCGTACAAGCAGCCATCGGCAGCAAAGTCATCGCCAGGGAGACGTAAGTGTAGTGGCCAAACCTGAAAGAAGACACACGACCAAGTCATTTGGAAAGTTGATAGCTTTTCAGATTGCATGACACCCTCTCTCTCTCTTGCAGGATAAAGGCTTACAAGAAAAATGTGCTCGCAAAATGTGTAAGTAAACTTGTGTTCTTTCATTTAAAATGTGGGTTTGTACCAATGATTTAGATATACACTAGGTGACTGATGGGGGCACTGTGTTGAAGCCACCGTGCCTTGATCCTGGCACTCCCCCACCATTGTAAAAAAAATTGAAATGCATTTATTAATGTCTACATTCGTTTTTTTGCCACATTTATTACATTAGACACCTTAATACATACTAATAATATGTGAGCTAAACATCAAAATTACAAAATATAAAAAACATTTGCCTTAAAGTATAATTTTTTTACATTACTAATATTACTGTCCCCACTACAACAGCAAAAATACTTAAATACATGTAATTTTGCCCTTTAAAGATTTAATTGTAATACTTTAGAATACCATTCATTCCTATAGAGGACTGCTCCTACTGGGGAGTGCCAATATGGCTGACCTGTGTCTTCAAAGCCTCTCACTGGGCAATACATACCATCAGCAATCCAGGGTTTATATACATCATTGGTTTATTGTACTGAGAGCCCTGGTAGTGATTATTATGTTAGCTGATCCGTTTTATAACTGGTGCTAACATGGGTCCTTTGTCCTGATGTAGTTTACATTCTGATTGTGCCCATATTTCCAGATGTGTCTACACATGGTATTAAAATATGTCTGTTATCTGTCCACTGTCTGCATTGTGACCACATTTCCTGGTCCCTCCCTTTATGCAAATTATGTGACAGCCATTCTTTCAAAATACTATTTATTTATTGTAAGACACATATTGATGCCATAAGTCAATGGCGATCACCTGTCGATGATTTTAGAAGGCGGATAATAATAATGTAAATGGTTTCACTGTCCAGATCTGTCTATACTTGTAAGATATCCAGACACAATGTGTGTCTGACTACCTCTGGAGGTGGGCAGGAAGGCCTGATCACAATGTGTATTTTGATTGTCTACACCTGTCTGGAAATGTGGGCACAATCAGAATGTGGACAAGATCAGGACAAAGGATGCATGTTTGAACCAGGTATAAACAGGGCTTTTCTCTCTTTTAGTATGGAGGTGATATAACAAGAAAGATGAAGCTCCTGAAGAAACAAGCGGAGGGTAAAAAGAAGATGCGGTATATTGGCACCGTGCAAGTCCCCAAAGATGCCTTCATCAATGTTCTGAAGAGGAAAGACAAGTAGAATATCAGTATCCTTAGTCATTGAAGGTAGTTTTTGTTCAACAAATTAACAAACAAACAATATCGTTAACAACAAAATAACTTGATTGTCCCATACATACATAAATGTCAAATTTGAACAACAAATTGTTTATTCTTATAATGTAGATCCCATTGCCATGAAAACATGTAACGATTACTCTGTGAAGTACTTTAAGTGCAAGGTGCAAATACATCAATGAAGTAAATAATAAAACAAAATGTAATGTAGTTTCTTGTTTCTTTACCTCGCCATGGATCCAGTGTGCTGGGGTTGTACCATTTTGGCTTAATCTTAATTGTACTTCCTTGATTCCTCGCATCTTCTCTGCTTGCCTTCTAAAAAACGCATTGGGGGAGAAGATCTGAGGGGAGGAAGACGATGAGGGAGTGTGTGAAGAATCAAGGATATACAATAGAGATTCACCCTTTGTGTACTGTTCTGTGACGTTAGTGTCCTGTTCAACCAGAGGGCCCTGCACTAGTGGTTACAACAACCCCCTTCTCCATGGATTGCAGCTTCGGTTCGAGGAGTATATGCTTTTTAGCATTTGAACTCTACATGGCATGTAGCAGATACATTTTTCTTATTCGATCTTCTGCGGGGAGGTTTACATCAACACAAAAACCACACCGATTTGAACTAGGGATCTTGTGTGTAGTAACCCAAGCGTTAAGCCCTCTTGGGGGGTTCGAACCAGGGATGTCGTACCTCCCTGATAGCGTTTGTTTTATTTGACTCTCACCTGTCACTGTAATCTCTGCCCATTTAGCTTTCAGTCAACCAATCACATTTTGTCCCGCCCTCAAAACACAGCTGGGTCATTTGGACAGGTGAATGCAAGGGCTTTCAAAGGCTGACCAATTATTATATTTTTGCCACTAATTTGTCTTGTTGACCAATCACATCAGATCTTCTCACATCAGCTCTTTTTCAGAGCTGATCTGATTGGTTAATAGACCAATTAGTGAAAAAAAATATCAGAATTGGGCTGCCTGTGTAAATGCAGCCAAAGCCATCCTTCCCTCTTTGAAGAAATCTCAGATTATTAATGACTGGACAGACGAGAACCATCTGGTACTGGCCCACTTGCATTCACCTGTCCAGTCATGTCTAGTCTGAGGGCTCTATTCAATCCGTATTGCGGAAATTCAAATGTAAAGAAAGTTCCCGTGTTGGCGGAGACCGCATATGTCGGCTCAATCTGAAATTACCTTTAAATTTCAACTGTGCTGTAACGCGGAACTTCCGCAATACGGATTGAATCGAGCCCATTATTTGTTCAAGGAAGGGAGGAATGAAGGATGCACTTCGAAATAATTCCAATAAGGCCTTGGTATCTGAAGAATGAATAAGGAAAACTCCAGCTACTGGCTCATCACGAGTCAATATAAAACAATTACATAGAAATGGCACCAGAGGGCGTTCTCATACTTTTACTAGAGATGTTATTTTGCAGTTGAGTCTCCATACATGTTCTCACCACCCCATAAAATCTAATTTTGTAACATTCACAACAAAATTCAAAATCCTCAACATAGTGGAATTTGTAGGATGAAATGAGCATGATGCTGTTTTCAAATTATTTTATTAAAATGTCTTAGAAAATATTATGTACAAAGTGCTGCTGGTTTGATTTATGGCCAAAAAATTCCACATTCTCCTGAGAAGAGTTACAAATGACACCTTTTGTCAAAAAAATAAATAGTTTAACACTTTTACAGCCATTAAAATATCTGAAGCCAAATCCTGTGTATGTGTTCTTACACAGACATCAACAAACAATATATTTACCTCTAAATATGACATTTTTCAGTAGCTAAGGAATTTACTTGAGTAAATACAAATAGTAATCAACAATGGAGACATTTCTCAAAATGGCGGTGAAGGAAATGGTGGCAGACGAGGGACCATTGTGACAGACATTTCACACATTCTTCCTCAGGAACAGGACTTAGTTTTGTTAGTGTTTTGTTTTAAGAAAAGACAATGAGACGTTTCCTTCTTGGACTCTTTGCTTGGGGCTGCCAAACTCAGCCATTCATACCATGGACAACACTAACAAAGAATAGCACCATGTTGTTGCTCCCACTGATAAACACTTCTGACCAGAGACAGTTAATCAGAATGATACAGAGGAGTATGTGCCACATGAGGAAGACTTTACTTATGTAACATTTATCTCAAGCTAAATGTACCCTCTGTGCTATGTAGGGAGTACTGTATAGTTCACTGACCGTGTTCCAGCACTGAACAAAGGCCTTTGGTAACAACTCCTCTCCCTCTTCTGGCCTTGGCCTGTTCCAGACAGGGAAGCAGGCTGTCTGGGGCTTATAGTGTAATTGACGTCTCCTAATGGGGATATGTTAGGAGAAGAGGTTGCTGTTGTAAGCTTGAGCAGTTCAGTCATTTCTGCAACCACAGCAAAAAGGAAAACAAAGTCACCAGTTTGGGGGGATTGTAGGAACATACTGGAAAGTCTAAGGAGCCCAAACACACAGGAACCAATCAAATGAAGTTGAGGCACCTGTTCTCAGACGAGGGGCTGGGCCTAAGATAGCCTCTACGAATCCAAGAGTGGAAGACTCCTCTCTCGTCTCTAACATGTAGGCTCACTTTTTGTGAAGTCCCATCACAAGTCAGACTGTTGAATAAACTTCATTTGAACATACTTTACCTGCTGTCCGCTGATTTTGTCCTTATGTAGGAGGTAATCTGAGACAAAATATCCACAGAATAGTGTTATTAACCTGACTTTCAGTACGCTGGTCTGTATTTCCGGTGTGTATTTTCAATGCTGACGAAATTTGCACACGACATGCACAATATGTAAAAAATGGCAGAGTTTAGCCACAGACCAAATATTGTCCCACGTAATCAGCCTGCAAATTTCACAAGCACTTGCGAAGTAATGCGTTTTGGTCAACAACGTTCAGTTACATTCGGCTATTGTTTATATTTTGTGCATCACGTGAAATACATCAGTAGATGGAAAATACAAGCAACAGAAATTAGTCGGGTAAACAGCACTTTCTTGTGGATACCCACCCTATCTACACTTCCTACCGCCAAAAGGACCAACAGCACGGACACCCGGCAAAGTACATTTAAATATAATTGTATTCAACATCTTGGCTTGTAGAGACTATTGCGTATTTTTTACAGCGACTTCTTTCAGACTGATTTCAATGGAGTAACCATGTTTAGACAAGGCCTAAGGTAATTGGGCCGAGCACTGAGCCAGGGGGGACCTCTTTTCAGGGTTCCCAGAGTTCCGTGGCGCATTGGCAGCTCCGTCCAGCCCCAGTGAGCGCCGGTAGGCGGCAGACAATCTGTAGAGCACGTCTGGCGAGGGGCGGGACTGGGAGTCGCCCTTCTGGGTCAGGAGCATATTAAACAAGGTGTTGACCTCAGAGAGCAAGGCCCCGCCCAGTGGACCATCCTTCTCCGGCATCTTGCCGAAGGTGGAGAAGGAGGCGGAGTCAAGGATGTCTGGGGAGCAATGGGCGTCGGGGGACGGTGGCCCGTTGGGGACAAAAACGTTCTCGTGGTAGTCTGAAGTGAGGGGGAGGGAGAAGCGGGCCATCCATGCAGGGTCCTCTATGTCAGTAAAGACGTCATCTGATAAGAGACAAGGAAAGAGATGAGAACATGTCGATAAAGTATAGAATTGGCAAT